ACTAAAAAAAAGAGACAATGGTTTAGCTTCTATTCCAAAATGTTAATGTATTAATCAGCGGGAGAATAATTGTTTTTTACTGCATTATAAATCTCAGTTGCCATTAGGATTGCAGCGAGGGTTGATGTAGCTGCGTTCTTAAATTAAAATTGTTTACACTGCTATACATTCATTTTACATGGCCATAGCTCATCCGGGGTTCATTCCGGAGCTGTTCCTCCGCCACATCAGTCATCCCTCTCCCGGGTGACGGCGTCTCGAGGGAGAGGCGCTTCTGAAAGGAAACTAATTGTGTGGTGAGGAGTTAAATAAACGCAGTAAAGCAGTCGGAGGCACCGTTCAGTTACTGTTCACACTCGGCCTCGGAGTGGGTGTTACAGTTTGGGTCAGGAGTGTTGTGTCCTCGTGGGCAGATTGAGCAGCAAAGGTGGCGGCTAATGGTGGAACCGGGGCAGAGGATGGTTGTAAACAGATTTTCTGTGCTGGGTGGGTTGGGTCTGGGGCAAGGAGTGTTTTGGGCTGAAGTTGGAATATTTTCAACAGGGCACTCGTTAATGACATTTCTCAGAGCTAAAGATTAATATTCCCCTACATCACTGCTCTTCCCATTGCCCCACTCACCAGGGAGGCTGAAATCTGGGGAGCATCGTAGGGAAATTTCCCAGAGCAGGTTCCCACCGATGATTCCACGTGCCCACCCTCCCCTCTCCCAGCTGTCTCCCACGTGTGTAGTTGTAGTGCTACTGCTTTTAGCGGAAAACACCTCACGAGTCGAGCTGCCAGATCAGTTCGGCTCCGGACGAAGTTCCTCTGCCTGAACTCATCTGTCTAGTTAGCTCCGTGCTTCACCCCTGCTCCTCTGGAGAGCCCGAAGGTGGCTCTTCCTGTCCTCGGAGCAGCTGCAGCCTGACCTGCCGAGAGCATCGTAGTAAGTCTCCAATTCTTATTCCTCTTCTGATCTCGACAGATTCCCGCGCAGGTGAGGAAGGGGCGATACGGAGCGTGGACCACGCCGTGGTTGGCGGCGTCGTGGCCGTCGTCGTCTTTGCGATGCTTTGCCTGCTCATCATTTTAGGGCGATATTTTGCCAGACATAAAGGTAAGGCAAAGACCAAACCTGGAGCATGAAGGGCCTGGCACGTGTGTCCCCTCGCTCGTCAGGTTGTCCTGTCTGATGCGACAGACCCCCCAGTTTCTCTCCCAGTGGCATTTTTGTTTCCTTCATCAGTCTCTCCCTCGGCACCATGCCAGGACTCCTGAGGAGTCACACAGCCTCCTCTCCCCTTGCAGGTACATACTTCACTCATGAAGCCAAAGGAGCAGATGATGCGGCCGACGCAGACACAGCCATCATCAACGCAGAGGGGGGACAAAACAACTCTGAGGAAAAGAAAGAGTACTTCATCTAGAGCAGCCTTGGTTCCCATGAGGTGTCCAACCGTGGACGGTTACTACTGGCCCTGTTTAAACGCTACAGAGACAGTGATCTTGGAAGTTGCAACCAGCTTGTGTCTTTTTTTTTTAAGGGAAAAAAAAAAGCAAATGGGTGGAGAGCGGTGAGGCCGGGAGGGTCCGGGATTCGCTGTGTAAAAATATTCCTCGTAAAGTACACTCTGCTGTTTGACACCTCAGTTCGTTTGGGTTTTCTTTTTTTGGCCAAGTCCAGCTTGGATTTAGTTTAGTGAAGTCATTTGCAGAAGATTCTGTGCCTTGTTTAATTTCTGTTCGTTCGGGTCGGGGGGAGGCTGGGAAGAAGAGGGGCTTCTGTGCGTTAGTTCCCTTCGGGTTTCTGTGGCTCTTCGTTTCCCCTTTCCTGTTTCTGGAGTTGCCAGCTGGGACCCCGTGGAGTAGGTGCGTTTCTCTGAAGGTGTTTCCCCTTTTTTCTCTTCACCGGTTTCCGTTCAGAACTCGAGCTCATCGGAGGAGAACCAGCACATTTTAGATGCGTAGTTTGCAGTTCAGTGTGCCCATGTCCCGTTCCCCTGTCACCGTCAAGGCTCGGATAACACTCCCCGAGCCTCTCTTTGTGGCTGTTTCAGGTGCTTTCAATGGTGGCGGCTGGGAAATGGGCTGGAGCTCGGCAGAGGTGCTGCTCGGCCACGGGGACGCAGGAGTGGGCTCCTTGCTGGGCAGGCAGAGCCCTCCCAGGTGCAGGGACATCTCTCATCCTCTCCTGCTTGGCAGCCTCAGGGGCAGCAGGTAAAACCCCTCTGATGTGTGAGCCCAGACCTGGAGAGCGGCTGGATGAACAAAACTGCCTTTTTTTCTACCCGCTAAGTAAAAGGTGGGAATTCGCGTTGAAATGAGCGTGCTAATGACCACTAAAGCCATAGGTGCACAGGAGACTCTGGCTCAATCGGAATCATAAGCAACAGGTAGCAAACCGCAGCGGGAGGACGGTATAAAGTTATATATGCTGACTTTTTTTTGGTGAGTAATCATGGATTTCGAGCGATACTTTTTTTATTGTGTTTATGTGGCAAGTGTATCTCATTTATTTAAGGGAAGCATTAATCTTAGCGTCAGGTTTGGGGACTTTTTAGGGGTTTTCAGGGCGGGGGGCATTTTTGTGCGTTTGTTTTTTAATTGTTGTTTTCGGTAGAATCATTACAGTGCGGGATTCCTTTGGGACCGGGGTGGGGCCTGGCGCAGTGAGCAAGCCCGTTCTCTGGCAGTATTCCGTCTTTCCCCTCTTCACGAGCAGAACCTCGCGAAACGCCCTTTTTTCCGAGCAGATTTTGTCGAGCGCAGCTCTTTCCTGAGCCCTCAGCACCATTGCCAAACCCCATCGCGGTGAGAAGCAGTCAGGTTGGAGCCGGGGGCTCCGTGGCCCGGCGGGACGGGACGGGCATCCTGGCCTTGAGCAGCCCATCTTTGTTTGGAAGTGTACCGTAGTGCAGTGTTACCGATGTAACTTTGACTTACAATGTTGACATGTCTCAGGTTCATGTGTTTGATTGGTGTTTTCCGTCTCAGGTAGATTGCAAAATTTCGGCCCCACGCATTGGAAAAATGAAAAAAAAAAACAACACATAAAAACAGGAGAAAAAAACAGGAAAATATGAATTTTAGTTGTATATCGGTTTATGTATTTTTTCTTCAGTATACAGTGCACTGTTGAAATGTATTGTTGAGTATTACTTTGTACAGCTTTAGATCATTAGGATTTTGAAGCGTGAAGAAAGAACAACCTTGTTTAAAGGAGGATCACAAATGAAGGATGCGGAACTGATGATAAACAACCTTGTTCTTTATTTACCCGGCCTTTTTATTTTTTCCCCTTAGGCCAGTTCTGTTTTAAGGTGTCCATGGAAGATGTTACAGTGTAAGAAAATACATATCCATCTGTTCCCATTCACATTTTGTATTGGTTCATGTATCCCATTTTTACAAAGGAAAAGAAGTACTATAAAATATCTGTCTTCTTAATAAAAAAAAATTAATGTTACAAAACTAGATCTTGTTTTGAACTCTTTATCCCTGACTGTTACAGAGACCACCATCAGAGCTCACCCACCGACATGGGCAGAGGGAGCTGGGGCTGGGCAAGTGACACCCAGCACTGCCTGGGGTAAGAGGAGTTAAACCTGATGCACTGAAGCTGCGTTAAATATAGAGTAGATTTCACGAGTTTCTTGTTTATAGTTGCTGAATTGTTTTATTTGGGGGGTATTTAAGTGGAGAAAATTGATCTGTCACTGATATTCCAACCTTCCTGAGCTGGGGTAGGTTGGTACACAGGCTTTTAATAGCATACATGCTTAATTCTTGCCATGGAAGGTGAGTGTTGAAATACGTGACCTCCTTTGCCCTGTTTCCCTCTCCCATTCAGTTCTGGTGCTGCCAGATTTTCTTGCATCTCCCCTTAAAAGTACTGGGGATTTCCAAATTGTGGCACACAATGTCTGTTCTCCTCAAGACACCAAACTCCAGCAAGTGCTGCCGGGAAGGATCCCTTTGCCTCCTCTGGGCCTCGGGCAGCTGTCGATGGCGGCAGCGCACGCTTCTCCTCCATCCTTTCCCTCTGCCGCAGCCCCCGGAATCAGGCTGCGAGGCAGCTGCGGCGCTGAAATTAGAACCATCAATCTTTTATGTTTTGCACAAAGGAGGAGGGGAAAGACAATTGCTTTTCGAGGAGATCGCACTGAGGGACGCGCTGCCAGAACGGCTGCGCTCAACCAGCGCTCAGGGGGAGCCGCACGGACCAGGCGCGTGTGCCGGAGGCGGCGGCTGCCGCTGCTCCAGGGCCGGAGTCCAGCTCTTGAGCACTCGGTGCTTCTCATGTGATCATGTCAGAAATAACGTTTTTCTTAGAGAGAAATTGTGACACTGAGGGAAAACTGCAGGGCAAAGCCAAAAAAGCAGCTCTCCCCTTTCTTACCCGAAATGAGCGGAGCGGCTTTGATGGTTTCCATGGCTATTGCAATTATTTCCAATGCAGAAGAGGTTTGAGACTTGCAGGCCCCTGGTGCCGGCTCACGATGCTTTTCTTCTCCTCGAGCCAGCGCTAATTGCGTCTCACACTTGCAGTGTCTGTAATTTATCCTCTCAGGGGTCCACATCTTTCAGGGTTTTAAGGTTATTTAGTGGTGCTTTTCTTCACATTTCCTACTTGGTCCTTTGCTTTTACACATTATAAATGGGTGACAAGAAACTGTACCTGTAGTGTGCAGGATCAGATTCCTGTTGAAACCCTCTGTATTAATTTTCAGACACTGAGATATAAAAACATGAATGGGGAAAGCTGGAAAGAGTAACACTGAGCAACAAGTCCCAGGTGTCCAGGTTAGGATACTTCACATGTTCCCCACAGATGTGACACCATGGCTGCTGAGCCTGTCCTGTTACACAGAGCTGAGGACACCGTCAGGTTTTTATGAAAATGAAGAAAATGATCCTTACTTCAAATAAGAATGTAGTCTTTGTCCTGAACTTCACAATTGCAAAAGTTGCAGAAGTCCTAATTGCACAATTACTTTATTGGGTGAGTAATACAATTCTTAATTTTCTTCTTTTTTTTAACCACATACAGGTTGGAATTATTTTAACTGAGTAACTGAGTCCAACCTGTGCAATTACAGCCTTTTCTGCCAGGCTGAAGTTGCCAAAAGTTTATGCCACGTAGAGTAATTAGCAATAAATGACACTGCAGCTCACATCAGGTAACATGTACCTGGGTCCTGGGCTGGGTGATTGAAATACACAGGAGCGGGGATGAGGCGTGAGGGCGCGTCTGGCAGCATCGATCCGCACCGGCCAGTCAGTTCTCATCAGAGGGTCCTGACAAGGGGCTAATAGCTTTTTCTGAAGATCCAATCCTATTTTCCAGGCAGCGGCCGGTGTTGTGCCGCCTGGGATAACATCTGCTCCGGGTAGCATCGATCGGACGGGGGCACGTGTGTCCCCCCAGTGCTGGGTCCCGGCAGCTTTATCTGGATGTATAATTTTGGTGAAGGGGAAAACTCAAATTCCATCTAAAACCCATCACCTGGGCTAATAATTTACATCTGAATTAGTACAACCAGGGAAAGAATTTCGGTCTACTGGTCACTGAGAATTTAAACTGGCCTTGTCCTGTTTCCAGAGTCAGAGGTGGAAGTGATCCCTGCAGCAACTCCAAGTCTCTCCTGGAAACCTGTGTACACGGTGAGCAGGGCAAGGGCCTAATGGGGTTTTGGGGAGGTGCAGGAAAGATGATTCTGCAGATGGACAGTGCTCTGCACACCCTGCAGTGGGCTGCAAACTGACGAGCTCCTTGGTGAGCTTCAGTTAAATAAACAGACTGGGTAAATAAACAGATTTTAGGTGGGAAAATAAACTTTAAGTGAAAAAGTGAATTAACAAACTTTAAGTGAAAAAATAAACTCTAGGAGAATAAACAAAACTTAAGTGCAATAAAGAGCTCGAGTTAAATAAGCAAACTGCTAAAGTAATTGACTAAAGGCCAACTGAGGGCCAGTTGTGCTGCTGGAGCCTGTGAGAAGCAGGGTAAGAGCTCAGCCATCCTTCCCAGCAGAGGCTCTTCTGGAGAGAGACCCCTTGGAGCTGATGTGAGGGAGGACATCACCAGCTCCTCTGGCCCTTTTCTGCCAGAGGATGCCAAGCAGATGGATCCACACCTGGTCCCAGTAGGATGTTTCCCTGTTCCATGTCAGGTCTGCTCCTTGCTCACCTCTCCGGGTTCATCCTCTCCCTCAGTCACCAGAGGTGGATGGACTGACAGACCCCCATGCTCTGCTCAGAAGGACTTGTCGGTGCCTCACACCGAGGTGCCAGTGCTGGCTCTGGAGCTCTCCATCCGTTCTCCCTGTCAGCCCAGGCCGAGCTACATTCATATCAACTCTAACCCCTGTGCCTCTGCCTATCTCCCCAGCCGTGTTCTCCAGCTCCAGTTCCTTATCCTGTTCTGCAGGGTAGCAGCAGCCCTGTAAGTCACAGACCTGGAGTGATGTGGGCAGCATAGGAATAACACCTACAGATGGAATAGGGATGCAGAATATAGATAGGGAGGGTATGGAGAGATGCCATTCAGCAGTCCCTCAGCTCTGCAGTTCCAGGTGAGCAGCGTCTGGGTGCTGGGCAGCCTGAGTGTGGTTTGGGGACATTCTGCCCTCCAGATGCCAGGGGAACAGAGCCCCTTCAGAAGAGCAAAGGGATTTGGTAGCCCTGGGAGGTTTAGTTTCTGTCTTAGGACTGTGCTGTGAGCCAGACCCACATCTGCCTCCCTGCTTCTCTCTGCATGGTGGCTGGCAGAGCTGCCCTTCTGCCCTCTCCCTGGAGAAATCCTGGAAATCCTGTTTTCCTGCTTTGTATCCCAACAGTACCAGTGCTGTCCTTCACATCTTCCCAAGTCCCCAGGTACTGGCTCTCAGCATCCTTTGGGGTGAGCAGGATCCCCTCTTCCTCAACAAACTGCCCAAAAGTGGGATTCCCTTGCTGCACTGGTGCCCGTGCAGCCAGGGGGTGGTTGGTACCATGTCACTTCTGGGGTGCTGAGCCCTCGGCTTGGGTACCCCAGGTTAAGCATCCATCAGAGCACCACCACCCCTCCCAGGAGCCCTCACAGCTCCCTCCTTGCTGCAACAAGCGGGGTGAGCAGCACCAGCAGCACCTCACCCACCGGAGCACACTCGGAGCAGGCACGCACGGAACGAGCAAGCGGGAGATGTGAAGGCTGCCAGGAGTAAAGGGAATATTTGATCAGACGCCCTCCTCTCTCCTCTGTTCTCTGCTCTCAGCCTCCCTTGGGGCCAGCACCTCACTGCCTCTGAGCACCACAGCTGCGACAGGTTGGCAGCAGCTCCTCAGAATGGGACCTGCACGGGAATCTCAATGAGATGGAAAAGGTAATCTCCAGCCTTGACTCTCCATGTTGTTTTCTTCCCTCGTTCCTTTGCCCCCTTCTCTGTTCCATCTCCTCTTTGCTGTTTTCCATGTTTTTCAGCTTTCCATTCTCCATACCTGGTCCCTGTGTCTGTTGCCAGGATGGGAGGTGCTGGCCCATGCCCCCTTGCTGGGGCATAGCTTGCTCCAACACCATCCTCCTTCTCGGATGTGCCCTTTGTCCATGCTGTGCCTTGGGCATTCATGTCTCTCAGCTCTTCCACATTTCCCAGACTGGACCCTGGCATTAGCACTTCTTCTGAGAGTCCTTTCAACGAGTCTGGCAGAGGCTCAGGTCAAGTGTGAGATTTCACACGCTCTGTGATGATTTTCTTTTTTTTCCTCAGCATCAGAAAACAGCCTCTTACAATGGAAATGAGCTCCAGCCCAGTCACAGCATCCCAGGGACATCATCCATCCCCATGCTCCCACACAGGTGATGCTCCCGAGACAGCTCTCATGTGTCCCACCACAGGTAACGTGCTCCCAGCTGTGGGGGGGGACATGGTGCCTGGAGCATTGCTCCAGCAGTGACCAGGACCTGCCAGGATCCAGGCTCTTTCCCACACCCAGTGGCCAGGCAGCCTTTCCCTGCACAACCCTGGAGTGTTCCCTCCCTCGCTGCTCCTGTCCGCAATCAGCCCGATTATCCCTGGTAATTGTCCCTTCTCTGGGTAATGCTGCTGAGCAGGGACAGGGAGCGTGGCAGTGTTTTTCTGTGACTAAGAAAAGGTGTGTACGTGGCCTTGATTGCAAATGAAAAATTAAGGCCCCGTGTCTTGCATTCATTCCCACTTGATTACACACCAGTACGTAAACAAATCTTCACCCAGTTGCCTGAGGGGTGTCAATGATCCACCTTTGCTTCTCTCGCCTCTCCTCCAGCAAATCTATAACGCATTTAATCTTCGCCACTCACTCTCCTCAGTGTTTAAATGTCTAATTTGCTGTCGAGCGTGGCTCCAATTCTCCCTGTGCTGCCACTGACTCTGGCTGGTGTTTGCCTGATTGCTTGGCTGCTTGGCTGGAGAGTCGGGGTGCACTCGGCCCTGGGGCAGAGGGGCAGTGGCACTGCCCCAGGCTGTGCCCTGGGGCCGTCCTCGGTGCTTGTGCCACAGTTAACAGGCTGCTTTGGAGCAAACCCAGAGCTTCACAGATTTGTCTGCAAGTGTTCACTGCACCCTGGCGGGACTGCAGGTTCCTGTGCTTGTGAGCATTCAAATTTGGGGTGCTTTAGGCAGAACTGAACAGCGTTGGAGCTGTGCCTCTCTGCAGCCCTGCCTCTGTGCCTGGGAAAAGTGTGCTTAAGGCAGACCAAGAGGAATGGTACAAAGGGAGGAAAACAGGGATCAGGATTTAGGTGGGATGCAGGCCAGTTCCTGATCCTCCCCCTTCTGGGGAGGCTGGACCAGTGGGGTGCCCTGTGGTGCCCGCCTCACCCTGCCCCTCCCCTGTCCTGCCCCTGCCCAGCTGTGGCCAATTCCCATCCACACCTGTGGGTGCTTGGGGCTCAGCCCAGAGCAGACCAGCAATGGCCACCAGCGAGGGACATGAGGACTGTCTCTGCAGGTAAGGGGGGCTTTTTGGGGGGTTTGGCTGTAAGGGGGCAGGTGAAGCTGGGGGGAGCTTCCCCCTGTTGCCAGGTACCTGCAGTTGTGTGGGTGCTGTGTTTGCCCAAGGCTGTGTTGCAGGGGAATGTTCTGCACTGCTCACCTGGGAGTGTGGATAAAAGCAAACCTGGCATCTATGTAATTTGGAAAACCAGCAAGCTATGGGAGGGAAATTAAACCTGGGATGGCCTGGCAAGCTCCAGGTTCAGGAGCTGGGTTACAGGAGAGCTTTAGCAGATGGTTATGCAGTGAGGCAATGGAATAAGGAGCAGGGTTTGCTGAGGATGTTGGACCCTTTGCATGCTCAATGGAAACTCTCAGGCTTCCCCTGTTTGGACTGGCAGGGTTGGAAGTAGATCATGCCAAGTGTGCCCATCAAAGCCCTCAAGCTCTGGAGGAGCTGCCATTGCCTACCACCACTGATGTGCTCACACCATCTGCCCCAGCCCGTTTGGTCCATGTGTGACTGGGGACTGTGTCTGGCACTGGGAGTGCTGCTGGGGATGTCTCTGGGGCTGGGGGCACCCCTGTGGCTGGGTACAGAAGCTGGCAGCCCTGAGGCAGAGCCACATTCTTCCTCTACTGTTCTCCTCAGGGCCATGTTTGAGTGCACTCCTGAGGGTGAGTCTGCTTGAAGCAAAACGAGTTCAGATTATCAAGCTCTCCATAAAACTTGCAACACATCTTCTTGTGTCTGAGTGTGTGTATATGTGCTGCTTTCTTTTTATTTAATGCTCTATTGAGGTCTGAGGCTTTTCCTTCCACTGGCTTTTATCTAGTCATGACTCCTACAATATTTAATCTCTATCAGAAACTGTAAGCCCTGTATTTATTTTATGGGTCAGTTGTTCATCCTTTTCCCTTGATGTTCTCCCTGGCAATGGATAGTGTGGAAGGTGGAGAAGGAAAGAAAAGGAAGAGGCGGGGGGAAAGAAAGCCCTGCTTGTTTCTGCCCGTCAACATTTGTCCAAATGACAGGGTGACAAATCAGAGCTCTGAAGGCTAATGGCAGGCAGAGAAATCCAGTGGAGAGTAAACGGGTGCATGAAAGGGTTCGGTGGAAATTTCCATCCCCAGGCAGAGTGTCTGGGGAGGGCAGGCAGATCACAACCCTGTCTGAGGCAGGCTGTGTGCTCCTCTCTGCACAGTCCTGACTCTCCTGGGGAGAGACTCAGGTGTCGTGGAGCTGGAACTCGGGCACCTGCATCCTTACCAGTGCCAGTCTGAGTCTGGCATCAGGGTCCTGTGCAGGTGGGAGGCTGGGAATGGCACCAAGAGAATCCACAGTCCCCATGCCTGACCGAAAGGTGACACACCCACTGCTCTCATTGTCACTTTACTATCTAGAAAGTCTTTTTTCAGATTTGAGATGAATAAAAGATTAGATCTATAGGGGAGAGACAATGCCAAAGGTTAAGGTGATCCACTGAATTTACTGTATTTGCTGCAGAGGCACAAATCAGGAGGAGACAGGTGCTGCCTGGACATCCCAAATCAGCTTTAAAGATCTCCCTGCAGCCTCTAGTCCTCCTTGGGGTGGTGAGGAAGGAGCAGATGGAGCAGCATCCTTCCATGGAGTCCTGGCTTTTCTAGGGCAGGTGGCTTGGGATGGTGCAGGGTGGAAGCAAGACACAGGAGCTGCTGCCGGAGCGGGGCCAGGGAAGGAGTGATGATGTATTATCTGGGGGTAGAGAAGTGCTTGCCAGCTTGTTGACCCTTCCTGGTTGAAAGGCAATGAATATTTCATGTCTCCAGCACTATCTGCAGCATGGGCAGACAGAGAGCCTTTTTATTCTTCCTCCTACCCTTCGCCACCTCCTCCTTCCCAAAGTCAGGAAAATCTGTCAAAACATTTATCAGAAATGTGTGTGAACTGGCTAAGCACTGCAAGGAGCTAATCTGTGTAGAGCTAATCTGAGTGAACAAAGTCACCACAGGCTTGCCATGGGCACTCTGATAAGGATTTATCATTGGGAATTCAGGTGAAACATGAACTGCCTCTAGAAAGTGGGCTGCAAACACGGTGCTCTGCCAGGGGTGCACCTTGGGAGCCATCAGGAAGGGAAAAGTGAAGCTCCCCACCATGGTCATGGGCAGCATGAATTAGTAGGATGTTTCCTCTGCAACAGGTGGAATTTGGATGCAAAGAGCACAACTGGAGCACAAACCATGCGTTGCTCCTCGTGCAGAATAGCCGGGGCCATTCTTGCAGCATGGCTTGAGGTCACCGCTCCAAAGCCAAGGAGCTTGTTCATCTGCTTTGTTCCCTTCCATTTATTTGGGATGGTTAAAGCTGAATTCTCCTGTCAGCTGTCACCCTTCACCCTCTTTGTGCTTGATCTGCACTGAGAAATGGGCGGGCAGCTCCAGGACGTGGCAGGTTGGGAAGTGGCAGCTCTCAAATTGTTGATTTCCTGATTTGCATCAGAGAAGCTGGAGCCAGGGTTGGAGGTGCTGGGAGGTGGTGAAGGCAGCAGTGCTGCTTTGTGGTGCTTCCTCAGTGCTTCCCTCTCAGCAGCAGCACTGGTGGTGATGGGCACGAGGTCCTGTCCTGGCTGCTGCATTCCCTCCACTGTGCTCCAGCTGGGATCTGCAGCCTTTGGCACCTCTCTCCTGGCATTTCAAGTGTTGCCTGGAGGCTGTGTCTCCTGTACAGGCTGTTAGCAGGGCAAGCAGATCCTTGGAGATGCCCACATGTGTCCTGAGCTTTACTCTGAACATCCTCCAAAGCAGGGAGTGGGCTGGCCCTGCGCTCTTCATTTTCTTGTAAGATGCAGGGTGGTACAGCACAAGCTGCAAGAACATCCCAAGTGTTGTCTGGAGACAACTGGCCAAGATACGGCACAGAGACAACATTTTAAAACCTCATTTAAGTGAACACAATGAGAGGGCTCTTGAGTAGAAGGAGAATTAATTAATCTCATTCCTACGTAGATACTTTTAATTAAATGGAAGTGCGTGGTCTTTTTAAAAAAAAAAAATATGGAGAAGAGCCGGTGTCTTTGTGAGAGCTTGTGGGAGGAGGATGGGGAGCAAGATTATTCTTTTTTTGAGTGTCTTCAAAAGGAATGAGCATCAGATCAGGGAAGGTTTGTATTGTCAGAGTGTGCACTGAACACTTATTTTCATCTGGGAGGAGGGCAAAGGCGTTTTCAGTTGCTCCAGGAGGTTGCTCTGTGCATGGCTCTCAGTGCTGGATGGCTCCGTGCAGGGCTGGGATCCCCATGTGGGTCTCAACAGGGCTGTGTCTTTAGATGGGCTGGCTCTGGATGTGCCTCTGTTCCCTGCTCACCTTCTCTGTGTTTCACTCTGTCTCCTCTCCCTGTGCTGATCCTTGCCCTGCTTGCTTGTTCACCACTCGTCCACGACACCGATTTGCCATCAGGAGGCACTGAGGGCTGTGGAGAGCTGACAGCTCTGGGCAGGGCTCAGGCAGCAGTGGCTGGATGTGCTGACTGCGTGTTCACAGCTCAGATGATGCTGTGCTGCAGCTGAGGCTGGCAGGAAAGCCGGGAGGTATCCAGGGGAGAGGAGTGAAATTCAATCAGAGAAGTGCGAGGTCTCTGGCGCTGCCTGGACGCTGCCAGCACGTGCCCAACTCGCTCTGCTGCAGAGCCAGGGCCCTTTGCATTGACTGCATTTGGCCAGAGCTTTTTCAGCTGTTAGTAGGGAGGGAGACAATGGGATTTCTTTTGGATGCGGGAAGCTGACATGGCCAGGGACCTCCTGGCTGTTTTGTCTCACTGGCATCTGCCAAACTCACTGCTTGTGAGCATCTCACTAAAAGCAGATGCTGCCACTCAAACACAGGGATGTTGTTTCACCTTCCAAAAGTGTAATTTAATTTTCCTAGCTGGAATGCTCT